TTAGTCTTAAAAAGCAAAAGTAAACAAAAAGAATCTTTGTCACTTGTCACATATGGGTGAAGCTTAAGGGTTTCATGTTAAGTGGAATAAGCCTGGAATTGGGTGATAAATACCATATGGCTTCACTTATACATGGAATCCACAAATATCGATGTTTTTTCCAGTAGAATGGCAATTATCAGAAGATGAGGTGGGGTTGGAGTATGGGAAAGAGGAGATGGTGGTCACTGGGTATGAAATTGTAGTTAGATGCAGAGAGTAAATTCTGGCTCCCCATGTTGTCAGCAATAATGTTCTCTTGTATTTCAAAAGAGCTAAGATATCGTGTTTTAGATAACCTGACCGCAAAATTTGTGAAATATTTGGTGTGGTGAATACATCAACTAGCCATATTTAATCATTCCACAATGAAGCATCTTTTTGTAGCCTTAAGTTTATACAGTTAGTATTCACTAGTTAGAAATAAAACTTAGAGGGTTATATGGAAAAATAGCATCATCAGTTTAGTGACAATAGACAGGCAACAAGAAGCACCTCTTGTCAAAGGAGACCAAAACCTCCATCACTTAGCGGGCTGGACAAGCAATAATGATGACAGACAAGGAGAAAGCGCAGCTATTCTTAGCATGTCTCTTTTATTTATGAAGCTAATGTACAAAGTAACATATGGAATAGGTGTCATCATGCGCTTCCTTTTGAAGATAAGTCATTACTGGAAATGGCTCAGAGGTAAAGGCATCTGCTACCAAGCCCAGTGACCCAAGTTTGATCTGTAAAACTCACATAACATAAGAAGAGAACCAACTGCCACAAGGGATCTGTCCTCTAACTGCCACAAGAAGAGCATGGCATATATGCACACACACGTGCGCGCGCACACATATACACACGCATACACAAGTACATATGCACACACAAATGCACACAAACACTAAGCAAATAAAGGTCAAGACTATTAAATATAAGTTAACTCATATGTGCAATAATATTGTTAGGACTTCTTGTGTATGCATGCTTTTCTATTTTTTATGGAGGCACTTCAGTCTGAGTTTTACCCATGGTTACCTCTTAAATGTTATCCCCTCAAAGATTCATATCACCGACAGCATTCATAAGCTACAACATGACTTCATCAGTTTGTAATGTCACCAATGTCTGGAAGTAAAGGTGATCTTTTATACTCTTGCGTCTCAATTTTCAGACATAATTATGTGATTCAAAACAGAATTAGCCTTTACTTTTAAAATATCATTAATGTATCATCTTGGGTGTATTAATAACTAGATTCTGTAAGTAAGGAGGAGGGCAAAATGCATTTTAATCACCTCAAATGTCTTAATTAACTCCTATTGCTAATGATGCAACGATTAAGGTGTAAATGTGTCTGCTCTATTTCTCCTAGGTCCTACCACTGAGCGTAACTGAAACATAAAGCAAGCGAGTGGAAGAATTTGAATCTTGATGAGAAAAATAAATAAATAAAACTCAAGTGTCGAACACTCTGTGGCATGTTTTGCTCACACATGCCTGTTTCCTCGCAATCACTGTTCCTGTCTCTCCGTGAACATCCAGGACATGATGACATGAGGGTAACAAACACTCCCGGAAAAGGCTTAATGAAGTCAAAACACCAAGGGCGAACCAAACTTCCATGCACTGATAGCCTCCTTAAGCTCAGAGCTCCCAATGAAGAAGTTTGAACAATGCCTGCCGGTCCACATGGACCTGATGAAGATCAAATAGAGAAATCAGGGTGGGAAGGCTACTCACACTGCACTTTTCTCCTGCGGAGATGGTCTCTCTCTTAAAAATGTCTGACTCCAAGAAGTGGAGTCGGTTTGCCCTTCTCTTGAACCAGAGTCAGACTAGATTTGCTTTAGACCAGAGAATGCAGCAGATGTGACAAGGTTGAGCCTTAGAGATTAATAATGCTCATGTGCTTCCTCCTCAAAACCAGATGCGACAGTGCTGGAGGCACAAGATGGGGGAGGAGAACTGGGGTGTCAGTGAGTATCTCCAGACTGAACCCCAGTCAACACCAAGAACAAGTCAAATGGCAAAGTTATCCAGGATGCTCTTACAAGGCCAAACCTTTGGATTACAGTTTTAGGTAATTCTTTGTGTGCAAAAACACTCACTAGCTGACCTCAGTCAATACACAGACTCCTGTGACATAATAAGCTATAGCGACTGTTTCAATCACTAAGAATTTAGAAAGCAAAAGATTTTCTAATCCTTCCGAGAGAACTGTGTTAAAACCAGCTCCTGCTTCAAAAGACTGTGAAACATCAAGACATTCTAGCACAAGATTGAGAGGAAATTTCCAACACAATGGTAAAGACCATGGACCCTGAAGCCAGATTGAGTTAGAATCCTGATATACCCTGAGGAGAGACTGGCTGTGTTCCAATTTCACATTGCATAATGTAGAGAAAACAGCATTGCTCAAATTACTAATATGTTACAAAGACTAAATATCATAGCCTCTGTGTGTGTAAGGCATTTACAAGAGTGGCTGGCACAGACTAACGGCTCAGTAAATGTTCCCACTCACTATTACTGTTTATTCTCTACTCTGTTCTCATCCTGCGAGCTGCCTGCTCAGAGCCATGAGACGACCCTACTCTTAGGAGACAGAGATAGACAGGCAAGGGAGAGCCTTGCAATGCTTCCTGTTGGATTCTGCCCTGGAGGAGGTGGCTTTCTATCAGGCCACAGGAACATGGGAGTGATGCCTGACAACTCCCAGGGTCTTCACATTAGGAGTCAGAGTGAAGGCTCAGGTTGTGGGGCATCCACAATAAAAAGAACTGAGAACCAAACTCTACCTCTTCATCTGGGCATTTAAGTCCATTCTTTGAGGCCTTATGACCAATTTCTGTTAGGTAAAGGTAGCAAGCTTAGATTTGGAGTACAGCTCAGTGTTTTAGAATATTTGCATCATATGTGTGAGGGTCAGAGTTCAATCCTTAGCACCTTAAAAAATGAGCACCAAGCTTTTTATGTATGGAGTATAGTCATGTAAAGTTCTTTCATGCAACAACACTCTAGCATATCATTCATGTGAACTCTTTCTAACCACTACTTTCCATCTCAGGGGAATAATCAGGTAATGACACAAATCATATCTATAAGTGTATATATGTGTATATGTATATACAAACATATATGTATATGTATCACAACAAAACTAATCTTAAATACATTAGTAATGTTGGTTAACTTGGGGATTTTGATTTTTTGAAGGGAAAGTGGGAAATGGCTTTTGTTAAAATAAATACTTTCTTTTTTTGGTCTTTCGAGACAGGGTTTCACTGTAGTTTTAGGGCCTGTCCTAGAATGAGCTCTTATAGACCAGGCTGGCCTCAAACTCACAGAGATCTGCCTGCCTCTGCCTCCTGACTGAAGACATGCGCCACCACCGCTGGCAGAATACTATTTTTTTTAGAATACTATATTTTTAATGAAGCATAAGGCTTGAATTCCTTTCCCTCTCAGATTATAATGACTATAATAGCATTATATGCCCTAGACTTTTAACTCTGTTCAGTCGTCATAAAGAGCCTATTTCTATGTACTGCAAAATTAATGCTCAAAGAAATAAATATATAGTATCTCTCAAAGTTTTTGAAATACAGTGTTCCACTGAAGCTCCACACATCGTCTCACTGGGCTCACTACTGAAGATAAGACTCCTATGTCATACCTCTCGTGAATTCTACTCATCACAGACACAATGATGTCAACCATGCCATGGCCTTTGGGCACAGCTCCAACTGTTTTTCAGGGCAGAATAAGTAGGTTCATTAACTCATGCACAGTCAGAAGTTCTGGAAGAGCGTGGCCATACCTCTCATTAAAGTAGCTCCTCTTTTTCAAGTAACTTGTAAGCCTGAAGTGGAGAAATCCCCCTTTTCATTTTGTGATTGCTAATCATGCCTTAAATGCAACTCTCAGAGATGCAAAGTCACTGCATAATAAATAAGGTACCAACTAAATACTAAGAAATTTAAATTAATAGTGTAATAACAATTCACATTCTGGGTTCCTTCAGAAATGCTACAGTACCATACATATTATTAAGCTCAATGTAAAATGGATTTGGTAGTTTAGATACAAACAAGGGACGCTAGGTTCCATCATGTTCCCTTCTCCACTCACCCACTGCCTCTTTCATGACTGTTGAATCCCTCGCTGCTGAATTTCCCTGCCAGACCTCTGCTACCCCTTTCCCCACTATATTCTAGGATATCATTCTTAATATTCTGCATTTTAGACTTCATCAACCTAGTCAAAGAACTTGAGTTATTTCCACCAAGAAAAATAAGGGAGCGGGAGAAAGAAGCCTATTGGTGGCATTTGTATGTCTATGATACTGTGTCACTGTGTGATTTTAAACAAAAGTTTGAAACTATGTACAATTTCAGCAGCATTATAGAGCTAGCTGCAGGGAATATGTCTGAATCCACTATGTAACTGAAGCCACTAAGAATTAATATGGAAAAAATTAACTCATACGAAACAGAAGCTTAAGTATGAAGAATACAAGAGTTGAGCTGACAAGTTCACCTGTAAGTTTCTGCCCTAGTAAGTAGCTACTTTATTTGCATCTGTGTTCCATAAACTGAGCTCGGCATAGTTTAAATAAATGTAAAAATGTCTGCTTAATAAGCTGTATAACATCTCTAATTACTAAAACAAACTCAAGTAGATTCTGTGACATTTTACCACCATACTCTTTAAGAAATGGAACTAGCTATAACTTGACTAGTAAATAACAAATTATGAAGAAAATCATTTGGTTAAAATGTCCTCTGCATTTCTCAGACAGAATGTCACGGCTTTCTCTAAGCGCGTCCTACAAATTCTAAATCTTGGGCTTACTTCAGTTTGCATTAAATATTCCTAAGTAGCATTAAGGGGATTGCTTAAGCAAAAATAAAAGTCAAGTGCACCCGTGTTAACAAGAGCATGCCTGGAAAAGCAAGCGCCGTGTCTACCTGGCAAGGTTGCTTCATCTTAATGGCTGTGACGTGGTACCTATAGCAGCACAGCTCACAGGTCCAGGAGCCCCTCTCGCTGATCCACTTCAGAAGACACAGCTGGTGTGTGTACCGCACAGACCCGTCACATCGGCAGGGGTTTAGCAACTCACCCTGGAAAGAAAACAGCTCACTGTGAATATTCCTGTTCCTGCCTCCACTTAAAAACCCTAAGCTCTCTTTCTTTCCCTTCTAAACGGTTTGCCCAGATGGATACGAGCATCAAGCTCTATCCCAGAAAACCAAATTAAATTTTTATATGTCTGATGGGAATGATACTAAAGTCTTAAAAAAAAAAAACCTATTTCCGAGATAGTGCTTAGAGTCATGACATAAGTGTTCCACTGACATACAAAATGTCTGCAAGACATAGCCCCCAATACCCTTGGGAGAAAGCTCTACTATTAAATCTCTTTAATAACTTTTAAGTGGATGGTCAGATGCATTTCCTCTGCAGTTATTCTTAACCATCGCTGGAGAAGAAATGCATGGCAGAAAGCAGCTCACAGTAGCATCGTGCTTTTACTTTTTCTAAATGCAGCATCATAAATATTGACTCGGGACATTCTATTTCTGAAAACCTGCATATTCTTATGCAACTTCCTTACTTTTAAAGACATCAAACCTGGTGTTTTCACACCCTTTGGAAGGGCAATACATTATCTTTTCCCCTGTTTGGTGATTTTCATGAAAGTTTGCATTTGCCTCTTCTCATGGTGTTTATAATTTTCGAAATGTGTTTCTAGCAATGCATCAAGTACATCAACTGGCTTTTCTTTTAAAGTGCTTCTTTCTGCAGAACTGTAGCGCCTTTAGCATTAATAATTTGCAGTAAATTTTTGCAATAATTAATAATTTGGTATTGTAGCATGAATTATTCCTCCCTCCCTCCCCTCGTTTGTAGTCTAAGACTATGCCCTCTGGATACATTAATAAAAAAAACAGACTTTGCTTTTGCATCCTATAGATTTGATTCTACTTGCAAACTAAAATACTTTGAGTAATTCACAGGAAACGCTTAATGATGTTACCATTATAGCACCTGAAGCGTAACCGACTGCAAAATCAAGTAGAGGGAAAAAGTATAGGTTAAAACTGGTGGAGGACTGGAGTAGAAGCTAAGAGGCGTGTGCTGTCCGCGGTGCTGAAAAGGCTGACAGCCGGCAGACCTGGGGTCCCTCTGGCCTTACCTGCTCAGCGCCTTGAAAGCAGATCTTGCAAATGGGCTGATGGTGCTGGTGATGATGCCCCGAGCGTTGGTCTCCACCGCCGCCGCTGCTGCTGCTGCGGCTGCTGCACACGGAGCGTGTTTCGGGCTGGTCTCCCGTGCCGCGCCGATCGCCCTCCCCACACGCGCCGGCCTCGGGCTCCCCCGGGCCGCCTTTCTCCGCCGTTTTCTCGGGGACCGCCACCTCAGGAAGGCGCCTCCGACCTTCGCAAGAGTCGCCGGCCGCTGACACCTCCTGCTCGTGGGGCAACAGAGACGGCGGCAGCCGCTCATCCGCACCCTTGCGCCGCGGGGCCACCTCTAGCGGCGGCTCGCCCGACCCCGCGGTGCGCTCTGAAGGAGCGGGCAGAGGCGGCCGGTAGCGTGGGGAGGTGGGGACCAGGGCCGGCTCTCCCGGTGGCGGGGGCGGAGGCGGCGGAGGCAGGGACGGCTGGGCTTCCCGATGGTCCACCCGGCTACACCGATTGCTGCCCTCGTCGCTCATGGTGGAGCCGCCTCCGCCCTCCTGCCCGCCCTGTGGCGGGCCGGACAAGGACTGCAGCAAGAGAGCGAGAGCTAGGGGAGGCCGGAGAGGGAGGAGGAAGGAGAGCAGGAAAGGGGACCAGGGCACCGGGACTGGGAGGGAGGAACCGGGAGGGGACACAGAGGACCAGCGCGGCGGCGGCGGCAGAAGCGGCTGTTCGGCTGAGCCGCCGGCTCGGCTCTGATGGAGGCGGCGTAGAGTTCGGCTGCGCGTGCCAGGCGCGCGAAGGGGGGCGGGGGGAGCGCGGAGATGCGCAGGGAGGCTGGGAGGGACCAGGCGCGGGACTGGGGAGGAGGGTGCGAGTCGTGCGTGAGAGGGAAGTGTGGGGTTCAGAGAGGACCCGGCTGGAACTGGGGATCCCCGGACTGCTTCTACCAACCCCTGGTCTTTCAAGTCGATTCCGGGGCAGATTGCCCCTCTTAGAAGCGCGAGGCACTGCGGCTCCCATGAGCTAGTAAAAGGGGGAGGGGTCGGAAGCTGCTGATCCAAAACCGTTGCTGGGTGGGTCTGGGGGGGATTTCCGTGACACCGGCCGGGTGGGGGCGCGATGAGTCAAGCGGAGACGCGCGTGGGAGTGGAGGTGAGGGAGAGGCAGGTAACCCTGTAGTGCAAGGACCCATTGAACAGAGGCACGCGGGAAAAGACTCCTGGGGGGCTGATCCACTGTTATTTGGGGGCTCGCAATCCTTTCCCCTTCAGAGGACTCTGCATGCCAAGATTCTTCAAGCAGAAGCCTCTGGAACCTTTATCATCCCACTGTTTCATTTTTCCCCTTGAATCCTTCAGTGCCCATGTCCCCTGCAGTATGCACCCTGGGTTTGGAAATTTTCCAGATGTCTCAGAGGTTGGAGGGTCACATCCTGTAGAAATGCCCCATTGGGTCTCCTTCATACCTTAAGTAATGATGCTGCCTCCTTCCCAGGAGAAGGGGCTACAACCTTGAACCTCTATTTGACTCTGTGTGAGTCCAGTTTCTCTAACTCCTCAGGCCTGGTTCCTTTGTGAACGTTTCCCCCCTAACCCCTTTTCCCTCCTTCCGGTAGGGTACTGAACAGAAATCTGTGCTCCTGTACTCTGGCAGAGTGTGTTTCAAATCTGGCAGTCTGAATTCTTAACCCCGAAAGGTGTCTGTTTATGCAAATCAATTGTGACTTTTCATGGATGTGGCACTTTAATGACTTTGACACAAGCAACTGGCCCCGGAGACATTCACTTTGGCTAATTTCATAGCTGAAGACCCAGGGTCAGACAGGCAAACCACCACATAGCTCAAGGTCACCAGCCTGTAAAAGGAATTTTGAGACTAACTTCAGCTTGGGCAGGGGCTCTGGCATCAGAGCATGGGGGGGGGTGCCTGAATTCACTTCCAATCCTCTCTTCATTCTCTTAAAAATAGTTCTGTAGTATGTGGTTTGTTGGGTGTCTCTAACTCCAGTTAACAGATTTCGAAATGGTTGAGACAAAACACCAGCTGAAGTAAGTTTTTCAGTTACACATTTGGCAGTAGGAAGTACATTTGCCTTTTACAAAAGAGAAAGATAGAAAAGACCAGGGTCTTTTGACATATATCAGTGTGATGTGGATGAGGTTGCAAAAACAGAAAAAAAATTCAAGAATGCTTTGTCACAAATGGCCTCGGATGAAACAGCTTCCAGGAATGTCCTCTCACCCTTAATTCCCTCAGACCGGTTTATTTTTGGTAGCAGAGTGGCCAGCAGCAAACACGGTTTTAAAATAATTCTTGCAGGCCCCGGGAACTTACCACGCTGAGGAAATGTGATTGTAGATCAGTGTTGTTTGGGTCTTCACCTGTCAAAATTGCACTGCACACATCTATATATTATCCCATTCTTAGAGTTTTCATAAGAATTAATATAATCAGAAGCCTAGATCATAAATTCTTAAAGGGACACAAAATTTATATACAATGCCAAGTGATGCAATGTATTGCTAATAAATCTCTATGAGATATGACAAAATATGTTTTTAAAGGACAAAATGAAGCAGAGCTTGTCTGGATAGGGATGCAGTAAAACAGCACCTAGGTGCATCCTTTTGGTTGCCGATTTCTGTGAAAAAAAAATCCAATAGCTGAATAACAGAAAAGTCCGTTTCCTTAATATGATGGCTAACCACGTAAAATCTGAAGGAAGCATTGTTTCCCATCTTCATTGAAATCACAGGTAAATTTCCCTCCTCCACCCCCAAAAAGCTTGTTTATGGTCTTTGCTTTACCTACAGAGTCTTCAAGGGGCAGTAGAAACTGTAAATTCTGACCTCTGCTGTAAAAGTGTGGAGTAATGAGAGACATGGAGAGAGGAACAGCCAACACCCAAATGGAAGAGAGGAAAGAGACATAGAAAGGATGGCTGAGGAAGGACACCACAGCTCCGATGGTCACCAGAAGCTGATGTGCATCAACCTAGTTTTTTAAAAAATCAAGTTTTATCAAGTGAATGTTGAAAAGTATATGAAACCATTCTTAGCTTATAGAAATAAGGATAAGGCTAAACATAACATAGCAGATTAAACAAATCCATTATAATGCTCCCTGCATTCATCCTTCAACACACGGGCTGTTTATCTATAAAGTATAAACCCTTCACATACCACTAGTCAAATCTAAGAATGGGGGAGGAAAGGAGAAAAAGCCAGGCAAGTGTCAGGTGCTTTTTTTTGTGGCATTCCTGTGTGTCCCTAAGAGTTTCTTCTGCAGCTTCCCTAGTGTGCACACCCAGGAATTCGATGCTGGGGAAAAAATAACAATAACAGAAAATTCCTTCAAGAATTCCAACAGAAAAATCACTTCAAGAGAAGATGGTTAGACAGAAGTTAATGCCAGCCATGGCAGGTGGGAGTGATTTATTCTGAATCTGAGCTAGGCATGATGGCCTTGGTATGCCCTTCAAACAAATAAAGATAGCTGGGAGAGCTTTTTAAAATTGCTCTTTTAACTCTTTTAAGTGTAGCTCTAGAGACATTACAAGGCTGTTCCTTTGGCACTTTTAGGATATGTTGATGCCTCCAAGGAAACAGAACATAATACATAGTATTTTCAGTTGTCTCCACATACTCAGGAAAAGAAACTAAGAATCCAGCCTGTACTTCATCCCAGAGAAATCATCTCTCTAGCCTTCTGCTGTACTTGAGGGTGGGGCTCTACAAGCATCTTACCCAGCACTCACCTGTACAGAGTTTAGCTTTGTAAGGCACCAGAAACTAAGCAGTGTCCGTAGCCTCAGAGTAGCATGGTTCCATATAGAGAATAATTTACAACTTCCCTCCTCTTCACTTAACCCTAGTGTCTCATACTGGCTTTATCATCCAAAGCCACATCTCACGAAGCAGGTCCCCTCCAAAAATAGAGGAGACCCCAAACCATTTCTCCTCTTCATTATTAACCAGAAGTTAATTTGCTCACTCATTCTGCCATTCAATCCAGAAAATGTCATTCTTGCATTTTATTTTCATATTAGTGCATGAAATTAAAAAGTCCTTCAAAGGTAGTTTCAAAATATATACCAAATTCTACTACTTCTTTTCACTGCTGTGCCCACAGCCCCAGTTCAGACTGCCATCCTGGTGCACCTGTACCGTCAGCATGGTTCCTGATTGCTTTTTAGCAGATATCAGTTCTCCCATAGTTTGAGAACACTCTTTCTTTCCATCACTCTCGTCTTAGTTACCACATCTCCCCACAGTTTTTTATTTCTGATAATTTTTCCATGCTTCTAAAGGCTTCCAAATCGATGACAGCCAGGTCCTCTCTTCCTTTGTTATTCTCACTGGTCCTCACCAACTTAATAACTCCGACCACAATCCTCCAAGTCTCTGGTCTCACCTCAAAAAGCTCTAGGATACCCAAACTCTGCAAACAAATAAGCATCGTCAAAACTTCCTGATTGTGACCAAAACCACCCCTCTTCAGCACCCTCCCCAAGGGTTCTGAGACCTTGAACACAAGAAACTGGTCTCTTAAAGAGGGTGCATGATTTGTAAAAGATCATATTGCAATAAAATGTAAGGAATCCTTGTGCTTTCCTCTGTCTTGAACCTTGGAAACACAAAAGAGTTCTTCCCCTCAGAGATGTAAATACCCAAAGTATCTAATTAAAACGCTGTGGACGTCTGCATGCACAGGGCATCCAAAACCAACCTGCCATCTGGAAAACTGCGGAATCGATGTCACTTGACAGGTCAGCCAAGCTCTAATAAAGCCATCTTTGATTCTGCCCAGCTGAAATTATCTTGTTTGCTACCAAACTCATACATTAAATGTTATTTTATGCTATGTATCAAATGCTATTCCTTGTGTTGTGGCACTAAATATGTTTCTATTTGTGCCTTTCCCATTGTTCTACATTTTAGCCCATTTGAATTGAGTCTGTCTATGCATATACAACCTTTTTCTTAAGGGCTATAATTACTATGATGCTCAGTAAGCATGAATTAAACATTAAATTAACATAAATTTTAATTCAAAATATCTTATTTTTAATCTATTAATGCACTTTTAAACAAGTAACAACTTAAAAAGACGTATGTTCCTGCCATGCTTGGGTAGAGGGCAGAGGAGTCAGCTACAAGACTTGGTAATGCAGACAACCACTTCATAACTAGCTTGATAAAGACTCAGGGTCCCTAGGAACCATTCGAGAGCTACAGCGCGTACAGGGGAATTGCCAAGTTTCCTTACTCTTTCCCACTTTTCTCCTGATTGCTGACCGCGCTACCAGGACATCAGACCTTGTTGAGAAGAGTGGAAATCAAAAACAGGAAGCAACACGAGTTTGCAGGCTTTCACAGGGATGTCAATCTGTCTGCCGCAGTGCCTACCATAGAGGCTCTCTTCAACAAAGAAGGGAACCAGTTCCAGGTTTACACCAGACCACTAACCCCAGCGGCCTCCCACTGCGCCATTTCCCAGACCTGGCACATCCCAAAGGAGGGTTGTGATGTCCCCACAGTACATCCCACCCTGAGGACTACCCAGTGAAGATCCCACCAATAAAAATGCAGAATCACTGTGAGTCAATACCAATTCCTCAAAGGGAGGGAAGTCTTCTTCCCAGAGGAACGACTGCTTGGCTAATAAAAATCCTCTTTATGCCTACTTCTTGGATGTAATCTGTAGCTTGTAGCAACTATTCTATTAACTGGCTTCT